CGAGACCATCCTGGTTAACATGGTAAAACACCGTCTCTACTAAAAATACAAAAAATTAGCTGGGCGTGATGGCACACACCTGTAGTCTTAGCTACTCGTGAAGCTGAAGCAAGAGAATCGCTTGAACCCCGGAGGCAGAGGTTGCAGCGAGCTGAGATCGTGCCACTGCACTCCAGCCTGGGCAACAGAGTGAGACTCTGAGAAACAAACAAACAAACAAAACCCCTTAGGCTATTACAGAATAATGGGGACACCTGTCAGACAGACCTGACCCCCCAAATCGCAGCTCCATCCTGTGGTAACTGAATGACCTCAGGCACGTTAGTTCTCCTCTGTAAACCTCAGTCTCCTCATCTGTAAAATGAAGGTAATCATAGGGCTTCACATGTGAAATTAAATGTTAAAGAGCATAGCAGAGTTCCGGCACTCAATATATGCCAGATATTATTATTAAATTAATTAAAATTTATGTGTTAATTAAGTTTGCCTCTAGATGAGTAATTACAGCAGAGGACTGGAAACAAGGTATGTGAAGCAACTTGTACACTGCCTGACTTACGGTGGTGGGTAGTCAATAAATGCTTATTATTATCTTTTTATTATGAGCACCCTCACATACGTTTTAACTCTAGGCCTTATTATCTCGGCATCTGTATCTAACACACAATTTTATCCTCCCATAGAAATCATGGCCGGGCAAGGTGGCTTATGCCTGTAATCCTAGCACTTTGGAAAGCGGAGGCAGGTAGATCACTTGAGGTCAGGAGTTCGAGACCAGCGTGGCCAACATGGTGAATTATCATCTCTACTCAAAATACAAAAATTAGCCGGGTGTGGTGGCTCACACCTGTAGTCCCAGTTACTCGGGGGTCTGAGGCAGGAGAATTGCTTGAACCCCAGTGGCAGAGGTTGTAGATCCCAGGTGGCAGAGAGCTGAGATGGGGCCACTGCACTCCAGCCTGAGCAACAGTGCCAGATTCTGTCTCAAAAAAATAAATAAATAAAAAATAAAGAAATCATGGCCAGGTGCGGTGGTTTATGCCTGTAATCCCAACACTCTGGGAGGCTGAGGCAGGAGGATCACTTGAGCCCAGGGATTTGTGACCGCCTGGGCAACGTGACAAAACCCTGTCTCTACAAAAAAATAATTTAAAAATTAGCTGAGAGAGGTGGCATGCATCTGTAGTTCCAGCTTCTCAGGAGGCTGAGCTGGGAGGATTGCTTGAGCCCAGGAGGTCAAGGCCACAGTGAGTTGTGATTGGCAACAGAGCCAAGTCCCTAAATAAATAACAGAGACTACCTCTAAATAAATAAATAAACAAATAAATATGAAATTGTTAATTTGGGGGCTCTGGTCAGGCGCGGTGGCTCACACCTATAATCGCGGTATATTGGGAGGCCTAGGCAAGCAGATCACTTGAGGTCAGGAGTTTGAGACTAGCCTGGGCAATATGGTGAGGCCCCCCCATCCCTACTAAAAATACAAAAATTAGCCCGGCATGATGGCACACACCTGTACTCCCACCTACTCAAGAGGCTGAGGCAGGAGAATCACCTGAACCGGGAGGCAGAGGTTGCAGTGAGCCAAGATCATGCAACTGCACTCCGGCCTGGGAAATCGAGTCAGATCCAGCTCAAAAAGGTGGTGGGGGGGGCTCCAAAATGTCAGCTTAATGTCTATTCCTAGTGCCTGCCTCCAAATGAAAGGGATTTTCTCAGCTCCTTCCAGAAGGATGTGCAGGTGGCAGGCGGGTAAGGTGAGGATGAGTAAGAACTTCAGGTTTATGCTTCCAACCTCCTGCTTTTGGGAGAGCCTATGCCTGGTCTGAACTCCAAGAGCCAGGGAGCTATGGAGGCCTGAGGCTGCTGTGTGAGGCAAGAGGGAGGATGCAGGGTCACTGTTGATAATGATATTTTCAAGTGCTCATGGACGGTACGGTTGCCATGGTAATGCTGATGGCGCTGAACAAACTGCAGCCTCTCTTGAGTTGTGAATCAGGTTCAGCTTTATTTATTAAGAAAGAAAAGCAATGCACCGACCTGCGGAGGGCAACTTGAAGCTGCAGGTGGAGGCCATGGCATGAATCAGCAGGTGCGTCGGCAGCAAGACGCACAGCCCCTGGGCCTCCTGACGTCAGCGGGCCCGGCCCACCACAGAGCCTGGAAAAACCCACGGGGCCAGCTGGGGAGGCCAGCATTGCAAACTGCCAGCCAGGTGGGAACACACAAACAGAATCCACACGGCTGGGTGGAAGCCACTTAATAGGGAATAGGTTCCATTTTCTCCGCTTTGGCTCAAAGGCCAGACTCAGAGGACACTGCCTCTATGAGAGTCTTCAGAGCCCAAGGAAATGGGGTACCCCCAGCCCAACCTCAGCAAGTGAAGGTCAAGGCCTGGCCCTGAGATGGCCCATGCTGAGCTGACCACCCAGCAATGTGACACAATAGGAATGTCCTTGGGGAGACCAATCAGCCCTCTGAGAGCAGGAGGGTCCTGGAAAGACAACGAAGACCAGAAAAATGCTCTCACATGGCCTAAACTTATGGACACACCCCTTACCCCCCCACCCGTGGGGAGGCCTACAGTAACAGTGACAGTGACACACTGGAATCCTCTTCCATGGCTTAGACACTGTCCCAGAATCCTAGACTTTAGGTACAGGGGCCATAAAACCTACTGGTTTGCCTGGGTTCGCTGTTGATCCCATTGACTGAGCTAAAGTCTCTGATTTCTTCCCCTTCCTGGCTCCAGCATCCTGGTGGGCCCACTTCCTAACCAGCATGGGACTCCAGGCCCTTGTCTCCAGCCACTGCCTTCAATATTTGGCAGAATATTACAGTGGGTAGGCCAGTGGGTGCTGAAGGCAGGGCAGATGGATTTCAGCCTTCCTTCTGCCATTTATCTGCTATGTGGCTGAGCCTCCATTCCCCTGTCTGTAATACAGGTGTGAAAATAATGACAGGACCACTCACTGGGTAGCTCTGAGGATGAAATGTGATAATATCTGCAAGTGTTTAGTGCAGAGCCTGGCTGGCACCTGGTCAGCGCTGGATAACTGTTTACCATTGTTAACTGCAGTTAAGGCTTCATCATATCCTGCCTGGAGAACAGCAACAGCCTCAGAACTCCACAGGCTGGTCTTGCTCACCCCCAATCTGCTGTCCACACCACAGCAGAGTGGTTGATCTAAAATGCATCTGATCCCGTCATTATCCTCCTTAAAATCAAACAGTGGGGCCAGGCACGGTGGTTCACACCTGTAATCCCAGCACTTTGGGAGGCCAAGGCAGGTGAATCACTGGAGGCCAGGAGTTTGATCGAGACCAGCGTGGCCAACATAGTGAAACTAAAAATACAAAAACTAGCTAGGTGTGGTGGCGCTAGCCTGTAATCCCACCTACTCGGGAGGCTGAAGCAGAATGGATTGAACCTGGGAGGTGGAGGTTGCAGTGAGCTGAGATTGCACCACTGCGCTCCAGCCTGGGCAAGAGTAAGACTCTGTTTCAAAAAAAAAAAAAAAAAAAATTGAACAGTGGCTCCCATTTGCCTTCAGGATAACTTGTAGGATTTCCTAGAGTGCCTAAGGGCCCTGACCATCTAGCCCTTGGCTACCATCTCCAGCCCTGTATCTCCCTACACCCTCCCGTCCTTGTTAAGTTTCAGCCACATCCAACCATTAGGAGCATCTCCAAGGTGCCAGGCTCTGCCATACCACCAGGATTTTTGCCATGTTCTTCCCTTTACCCAGAATGCCCTTTTTCTTTTTGTCCACCTGCTCATCCTTCAAGACCACGTCAAGATCTCTCTATACTGTGAAATTTTCTCGTCCTCTCCTTGAGAGCAGAGTAGATCACTGCCCCCTCAGAGCGACTTTGGTACTTTCTATAAAGATATTTGCCGGGCGCGGTGGCTCAAGCCTGTAATCCCAGCACTTTGGGAGGCCGAGGCGGGTGGATCACGAGGTCAAGAGATCGAGACTGTCCTGGTCAACATAGTGAAACCCCGTCTCTACTAAAAAAAAAAAAAAAATACAAAAATTAGCTGAGCATGGTGGCGCGTGCCTGTAATCCCAGCTACTCAGGAGGCTGAGGCAGGAGAATTGCCTGAACCCAGGAGGCGGAGGTTGCGGTGAGCCGAGAGCGCGCCATTGCACTCTAGCCTGGGCAACAAGAGCGAAACTCCGTCTCAAAAAATAAAAAATAAATAAAAAAAAATAAAAAGATATTTATGGCCCAGTGCAGTGGTTCACACCTGTAATCTCAACACTTTCAGAGGCCGGAGAATTGCCTGAGGCCAGGAGTTCAAGATAAGCCTGAACCACATAGCAAATACAGAAAAAATTTTAACTCAAAAAATTTTAAAAATTAGCCAGGCATGGTGGTGCAGGCCTATAGTCCCAGCTGCTCGGGAGGCTGGGGTGGGAGGATCGGTTGAACCCAGGAGTTCAAGTGAGCCATGACTGTACCACTGCATCCTGGCCTGGGTGACGGAGCAAGACCCTGTCTCTAAAAAAAATATATATATACCATCCATGCCTGTGACACCTTCAGCTTCTTGAGGGTAGCATTGATTCAAATGTCTGTACCCCTAGAACATACATGTGTGCCGTCACATTCACGAGAGATGACTGTGACTCTTGTGAATGAATGAATGAAAACAAAAACTCCATTTATAGCCATTTATAGAAGAGGAAACTGAGGCCCAGATAGGAGGGCCAGGCATGGTGGCGCACGCCTGTAATCCCAGCTACCTGGAAAGCTGAGGCAGGAGAACCACTTGAACTTGAGAGGCGGAGGTTGCAGTGAGCCAAGATTGCTCCACTGCACTCCAGCCTTGGTGAGAAGAGTGAAACTCAGGGAAGAGGGAAGGGAGGGAGGGAGGGAAATGACTGAGCCTCTAAGCAGCCAGGTTAAGAGCCCTGCATGGGAGTAAGGACAGATGAAATCTGAGAGCCGATTTGGGGGGGCTGAAGGGTACGTGGGGCGAAACAAAACCGGCAATGGCAGCAGCGGAAGAGGAGGAAGGGCCAAATCGAGAGCGGGGCGGGGCGGGCGTGACCTTCGAATGTAATATATGTTTGGAGACTGCCCGGGAAGCTGTGGTCAGTGTGTGTGGCCACCTGTACTGTTGGCCATGCCTTCATCAGTGGCTGGAGACACGGCCAGAGCGGCAAGAGTGTCCGGTGTGTAAAGCTGAGATCAGCGGAGAGAAGGTTGTCCTGCTTTATGGGCGAGGGAGCCGTAAGCCCCAGGATCCCAGATTTAAAACTCTAGCCCGTCCCCAGGGCCAGAGACCAGCTCCAGAGAGCAGAGGGGGATTCCAGCCATTTGGTGATACCAGGGGCTTCCACTTGTCATTTGGTGTTGGTGCTTTTCCCTTTGGCTTTTTCACCACCGTCTTCAATACCCATGAGCCTTTCCGACGGGGTACAGGTGTGGATCTGGGACAGGGTCACCCGGTCTTCAGCTGGCAGGATTCCCTCTTCCTGTTTCTTGCCATCTTCTTCTTTTTTTGGCTGTTCAGTATTTGAGCTATGACTCCTTCCTGCCCACCTCCAGCCAGAGGAGAATCAGTATTGGGGTTCCCTGCTGACCCTTCCTTACTCCTGGACCCCCTTGATCCCTCTGTTTCACTGGCTAAGGCTAGCCCTGGCCATTCTGTAGGATGTCTCGACATAGGATGGGAGAGTCTTCTGCTCAGAGGCTCATTCAGTAATATTGTAATTTTCTGCCCTGTGGGAGGAGGATGGAGACTGAGAGACTGTCTTTCGCCTCTTCTGAGTCTTTGATTTCCCTGATTTCTTTATTTGATCTTGAAAGGTGGGCAAGGTTCCCTCTGACTCTCCCCCACTCTCATCTTACTGTTTTTTTGTTTTTGTTTTTGTTTTTGTTTTTGTTTTTGAGACGGAGTTTCGCTCTCCTTACCCAGGCTGGAGTGCAATGGCGCGATCTCGGCTCACCGCAACCTCCGCCTCCTGGTCTCAGGCAATTCTCCTGCCTCAGCCTCCTGAGTAGCTGGGATTACAGGCACGCACCACCATGCCCAGCTAGTTTTATTGTATTTTTAGTAGAGACGGGGTTTCACCATGTTGACCAGGATGGTCTCGATCTTTCGACCTCGTGATCCACCCGCCTCGGCCTCCCAAAGTGCTGGGATTACAGGCTTGAGCCACCGCACCCGGCCTCATCTTACTGTTTTAATTTAATTTTTCACTCCCCAGCGTCTAATATGGATTCTGACTCTTAAGTGCTTCCTCTTCCTCACTACCTCCTTCAATATAAATTCAATTAAAAAGGTGAAATGTAAAAAAAAAAGAAAGAAAGAAAGAAAAGAAATCTGACAGCAGAGCATTTTCTGATGCTTCACACCACACATGCCCACTGCACACTACGGCTCATGTGATCCTCACCAGGCAGGGCCCTACGAACAAGACACGTGTTGTTTTCTCCCCCACTTTTGGATGAACAAACTGAGACTCAGATTTAAATGACTCCCCAGGTCGGTAGAAGAACCAGAACTGAATCCATCACTTCCCAAGCATTGGGCATGTAGCCTCTGCCAGGCTCTCTGCTGGGCACAAGGGGATATTGAGGCAGACAGAACACAGTCCCTGCCCCTCTAGGTGGCCAACTGCATAATGGCAAAAGCACAGTTTCTCAAGTCAGATAGAATCTGTGTTTGAATCTCAACTTTCCCACTGACTAGCCTTGGGAGCCTGAGCTGGCTCCTAACCTCCACACCCCATGTCTTGAGTCTCAGATTCAAAACATAACCTCATGCTCAAACCCTCCAAAGGCATCAGCTTGGAGTAAAATCCATCTGTGACCCAGTTGCTGCTCCCGTATCCAGCTCATTTCCTGTTTCTGTTCACCTCTCTTCCCATCCTCGGATGCACTGGCTCCTGGCTAGATCTGGAGCAAGACAGGTACCTCCAACCTCTGAACTTTGCCCTTCTTTTCCCTCTCCTGGATGCCCTTCTTTTTCCTTCTCCAGATGGACACATGGCTAACTTCTTCCTGCTACTCAGGTCTCCAGCTTCTCACTGAGGCCATCCCTAGCCAGATGCAGTGGCTCATGCACTTGGGAGTAGTCCCCGCACTTGGGAGACCGAGGTGGGCAGATGACTTGAGCCAGGAGTTCGAGACCAGCCTGGGCAATATGGTGAAACCCCATGTCTACAAAAAATACAAAAATTAGCCAGGCATGTGCCAGGGATGGTGGCTCACACCTGTAATGTCAGCACTTTAGAAACCAAGCCAGGCAAATCACTTGAGGTCAGAAGTTTGAGAGCAGCCTGGCCAACATGGCAAAACCCTGTCTCTACTAAAAATACAAAAATTAGCTGGGCATGGTGGCCCATGCCTGTAGTCCCAGCTACTTGGGAGGTTGAGGCATGAGAATCACTTAAAGCCAGAAGGCAGAGGTTGCAGGGAGCCAAGACTGCACCACTGCACTGCAACCTGGGCAACAGAGCGAAAAACTCCCTCTCAAAAAAAACAAAAACCCAGGCACAGTAGCACATGCCTATAATCCCAGCTATTCAGGAGGCTGAGGTGTAAGAATCGCTTGAGCCCAGGAAGTTGAGGCTGCAGTGAGCTGTGATCGTGTTACTATACTCCAGCCTGGGCAACAGAGTGAGACTCTGCCTCAGGAAAGAAAAAAAAGCCCATCCCTGACCATGGCATCCAAAACAGTAGCCCTGTCACTATCAACTGCATTCTTCAAAGCACTGTCTCTATATTATACAACCCGATACTACCTGTATTTGACATTTTTTTTTGTAGTAACATATTTTTCTTTTCTTTTCTTTTTATTGCATTTTAGGTTTTGGGGTACATGTGAAGAACATGTGAGATTGTTGCATAGGTACACACATGGCAGTGTGATTTGCTGCCTTCCTTCCCCTCAGCTATATCTGTCATTTCTCCCCATGCTGTCTCTCCCCACCTCCCCACCCCCCCCCCCCCCCCCCCTTTTCCCCCAACAGACCCCAGTGTGTAGTGCTCCCCTCCCTGTGTCCATGTGTTCTCATTGTTCAACACCCACCTATGAGTGAGAACATGCGGTGTTTGATTTTCTGTTCTTGTGTCAGTTTGCTGAGAATGATGGTTTCCAGGTTCATCCATGTCCCTACAAAGGACACGAACTCATCGTTTTTGATGGCTGCGTAATATTCCATGGTGTATATGTACCACATTTTCCCTGTCCAGTCTATCATCGATGGGCATTTGGGTTGGTTCCAGGTCTTTGCTATTGTAAACAGTGCTGCAATGAACATTCGTGTGCATGTGTCCTTACAGTAGAATGATTTATAATCCTTTGGATATATACCTAGTAATGGGATCACTGGGTCAAATGGGATTTCTATTTTTCTGTCTCTCCCACTAGTCCCTAAGAGTACAGATACACCATTTTGTTTACTCCTCTGTGCCTAGAACAGTGCCTGGCACATAGTGGGAGCTCAATAAATTTTTGTTATACAAATAAGTCAATGACCCTCACTTTCCTCCCCTTTAAAATGATACATACAGCTACAGTAGAATTAAATGATGTTGGCTCGGAGCAGTGGATCATCCCTGAAATCACAGCACTTTGGGAGGCTGAGGCAGGCGAATCACTTGAGATCAGGAGTTCGAGACTAGCCTGGCCAACATGGCAAAATCCTGTCTCTATTAAAATACAAAAATTAACCAGACACGGTGGCAGGCCCTATAATCCCAGCTACTTGGGAGGCTGAGGCAGGAGAATCACTTGAAGCTGGGAGGCGGAGGTTGTAGTGAGACAAGATCGCACCACTGCACTCCAGCCTGGGCAGCAGAGTGAGGCTCCCTTCTAAAAAAATAAAAAATAAAATAAAATAAAAACTTATTTAAAAAAAAAAAGAATTAAATGGTGTCATACATGGAGGATGCCTTGCCTGGTACAGGAGCTTCATTGGCACACAATAATGGTCGCTGCTATTATTGTCATTGTTCTTGCTGTTGTTTTGGTGCTTGCCAGCTCATGGGGGAGACTGGTGTAATTTGTGATAATAATAAAGCTCCTGGGCCGGGTGCGGTGGCTCACACCTGTAATCCCAGCACTTTGGGAGGCTGAGGCGGGTGGATCACAAGGTCAGGAGATCGAGACCATCCTGGCCAGCATGGTGAAACCCCATCTCTACTAAATACAAAAAATTAGCCAGGCGTGGTGGTGTGTGCCTGTAGTCCCAGCTACTTGGGAGGCTGAGGCAAGGGAATCTCTTGAACCTGGGAAGTGGAGATTGCAGTGAGCCAACACCACTGCACTCCAGCCTGGGCAACACCGCAAGACTCTGTCTCAAAAAAAGAAAATAATAATAATAATAATAATCTTATTCCTGAGCCTTCTGCTCCACTTTGGGGTGTGGGCAGCAACCCCTCCATCTGCCTGAACAGCAGGGCCTGAAACTTTTATCTGGACTGCCAAGGTCACCCTCTGGGTCTGGCCCTGATGGTGGGAGACCTCTCTCTGGGGCCTGCCTGGGCTGGGGGTAGTGGGCAGAGCCCAGCCCAGGCCTCAGAAACCCGTGATTTCCCCCCAGAGCAGGCCCCACATCAAAGACAATCTCAGAGGGGCGAGGCCTCAGGATAAATGGAAGATTAAAGAAGGCTCAGTCTCCACAAGGCCACAGGGAGAGGCGGCCAGCAGGCGACCACAGCGAGGAGGCCCCGACACAGCCCTGGCAGTGGCCACCTTGGTGGGTAAGAGGAGAGAAGGGGGCCCCGTCCTTGGCAAGGGGAGCCAGGAGGACACCTTAGCATAGGGGGTGCTCCTCGAGATTAAATCTGGATGCAGGGCTCCATTCCATGCCAGCTTCTTAACCCTTTCCCAGCCAGGAGGCAGCAGGGAGCTCAGGATAGGAAGCCCTGGGCCTCTCTTCAAGAGACTTGGTTTGGTCATTGGGGTTTGCTCTCTCCAGCAAGGGAGCCTGTAATGAGGACCTCCTGGCCCCAGTCTTCCTCCCCAGGGGAGGTCTGTAATTAGTGCAGGAGGCAAGGCTCGGGAAGCGCAGACAATGTCATTTGAACCAGAATGAGACAGGGCGCAATTGCTAGTCTGCACTTTTTTATTTTCCTGGTGCCATTTCATATACAAAACTCCAGCAAACTTAACCCTATCCTGGTTGGTCCCAGATGCCAGGGTTTCAGCTGGGCATAGCATCCATTCCTGTGCCTAAAGTGTGCCATTCTCACCTCCACCACAAACACTCCAGTACAGGTAAGCCATGGTTTCAGACTTCCTCAACACCAGCCAATCCATCATCCAACCAGCCTTTGCCGACTGCCACCAGATGCCAAGCGCCAAGGGGAGGGGACCCAAGGGAAAGTCTCCCTTCCTGTTAACAAGAAGCTGATGATCCCTCTGAGCAACAGGGGAATGCACACTCGAAACAGGTGGCAGGCAATGGAAGGGAAAGTGGACCCTGCTAAGGACCAGCACAGGGCAGGGAAGGAAGCCGGGTGGAGGCAGAGTACACACAATGGGGGCAGGGAGAATGGGCGTGTGGTA